TTTTGTCCATTACAGCCAAACTAAGTGAGAGAGCCACACCAAACCACTCTATAATGTACAAGTCGCCGCTGTGAAGCTTCCTGAGGTCGAAACTGGCAGATAGGTGCTTCCAGAAGAGAATGGCAGCTTGTGTGAAAAAGCTTGTTTTCTCAGCCTGAGAAGCTCATTCAGCACACTTAGTTGGAAAAACACCAAAGTCCCACAGAATTGCATGTGAAAAAGGAAAAAGCCAGAATTACATGGGAAAAGCAAAAAAGTCAATTTTAATATTTTTGTTCATTACAGCCAAACTAAGTGAGAGAGCCACACCAAACCACTTATGCATCACTTTAATTATGCCACTGTGAAGCTTTGCAAGTCCAGAATGAATTATTCTGTGGTCAAGTGTGCCCTCTTTTGTCGAAAAAGCGTAACTGCATTTGGAAGACAGAAAACCACTCTATAATGTACAATTCACCGCTGTGAAGCTTCCTGAGGTGGAAACTGGCAGATAGGTGCTTCTGGAAGAGAATGGCAGCTTGTGTGAAAAAGCTTGTTTTCTCAGCCTGAGAAGCTCATTCAGCACACTTAGTTGGAAAAACACCAAAGTCCCACAGAATTGCATGTGAAAAAGGAAAAAGCCAGAATTACATGGGAAAAGCAAAAAAGTCAATTTTAATATTTTTGTTCATTACAGCCAAACTAAGTGAGAGAACCACACCAAACCACTTATGCATCACTTTAATTATGCCACTGTGAAGCTTTGCAAGTCCAGAATGAATTATTCTGTGGTCAAGTGTGCCCTCTTTTGTCGAAAAAGCGTAACTGCATTTGGAAGACAGAAAACCACTCTATAATGTACAATTCACCGCTGTGAAGCTTCCTGAAGTGGAAACTGGCAGATAGGTGCTTCTGGAAGAGAATGGCAGCTTGTGTGAAAAGGCTTGGTTTCTCAGCCTGGCACACTTAGGTGGAAAAACACCAAAGTCCCACAGAATTGCACTTGAAACAGGAAAAAGCCAGAATTACATGGGAAACGCAAAAAAGTCACTTTTAATAGTTTTGTCCATTAGAGCCAAACTAAGTGAGAGAGCCACATCAAACCACTTATGCATCACTTTAATTATGCCACTGTGAAGCTTTGCAAGTCCAGAATGAATTATTCTGTGGTCAAGTGTGCCCTCTTTTGTCGAAAAAGCGTAACTGCATTTGGAACACAGAAAACCACTCTATAATGTACAAGTCACCGCTGTGAAGCTTCCTAAGGTGGAAACTGGCAGATAGGTGCTTCCAGAAGAGAATGGCAGCTTGTGTGAAAAAGCTTGTTTTCTCAGCCTGAGAAGCTCATTCAGCACACTTAGGTGGAAAAACACCAAAGTCCCACAGAATGGCATGTGAAACAGGAAAAAGCCAGAATTACATGGGGAACGCAAAAAAGTCACTTTTAATAGTTTTGTGCATTACAGCCAAACTAAGTGAGAGAGCCACACCAAACCACTCTATAATGTACTAGTCACCGCTGTGAAGCTTCCTGAGGTGGAAACTGGCAGATAGGTGCTTCTGGAAGACAATGGCAGCTTAAATGAAAAAGCTTCTTTTCTCAGCTGTTGTTCGACATCATCCCGAGCACATGGTTACTTATTATATGGCGAATTAAAGGCACCTGCACGCATTTAAAGCAAGGAGACCTGTTTTGTTAAATGTGCATTAATATTTGTATCGTTTTGGCCTCCTGAATGGCTCCAGGTTTAAAAAGTCAAGTTAAAAAGTATTTAAATAGACATGACAAGGTTTTAATCAATTCAATATTTATTAGGAATGGTCAAAATGTATAATAGATAAGCTGGGAAAGTGCAATGTAGCAGCAGCATTACACACAGTAACAACACACAGACATATCAAAAAAATCAACATAGAATGCAATATAAAAAATGGATAAATAACCAGTATAATTGCAGTGCAAACTAAAAATAAAAAATATAAGGTGCAGTGAACAGATGAAACATATAAGGTGCTTGGATAATAGTACAGTAAATATTAAAAAAAAAAAAAACTTTTAATGTCTTTTTAAACTCTTCTCAGCCAGCCACAGCTCCACAGTCTTCCCTTCATAGAAAGCACAGAAGTGCTCTCCCCCATATTGGCTGTGGCCAAAGTCTTTCTGCTGTGGCTGGCCACAGAGTTGGCAGATCCGCAGTTTATGGGGCTTCCTCACTTTCCCACCTGGTTTCTCTGGTTTCTCATGCCTCTGTTTGAGGTTCCAGGCTGTTGTTCTGGGGAGCTTCTGTAGCTCACCAGGGCCAAGCTGTTCCCTGATCTACTCTTGCACTGTGCGTCCTCCAGGGCCCTCTTCCACAGCACAAAAGTATTGGCCCTTGAGGTAAGTGTGGCCACCATCCACCGTGCATGCTTGGCCACGGATGTTGCAGGGGTCACCAGGTTTGTGCTGTGGCTTTCCCCTGGTACTTTGGAGGACTTTTTGTCTTTTGCTGCTTTAATTTTGCGCCTGTACACAGTGCAACGGGTGGGCTTGCTGGTCCCCGCCACTGGCTCTGCTGCCTGAAGCCGTCAAGGAGAGGAGCTGGAGGAGGAGGAGGGGGGAGGAGGATGTGCAGTCGTAGTCCACTTAAATACAAATACAATACAGAACTCTGTTAGTCAAGGTACATAGAAACACAGATGCAGTTTAACAAAGTATATTTCTAACAAACCTAATGAAGTGACGTGTTTGGTTTTCCGCGTTGCTTTTCTGCCTTCCATTCTGTCCAACTAAACCCTCAGCACCCCCTGTTGTTTTACAGTGTCCATTTGAGGCCCATTCTCACCTAGTCTCTAGGTAAACCTTTGAACCTGACCCTGGGATGACCCCTTGACCCTAGTTTTAAGTGAGGAGAGGGAATGATGTATTGTGTGACTGTTACCTGTGGGAATTTAGTGATATCAGGCACCTAGTCTAGATACCTAGTCTTCCCTATATTTATTTAATTTCTTAAAGACCGAAAGAAGCAGGAGAAAGCATTGGTTTAAAAAAGAAAAGTTTATTTAAAACAAAAACAATTAAGACTGCAATATACAACTATATAGATATATATTGGAATTTCCCCATTGTGGGACAAATAAAGGAATATCTTATATAAGACAACTATATACACAATATTTATTTAGCAAACATAATTGACAAACTAAATACACTATATACACAATATTTACAAATCCCTCCCTCCCAAACACACACACACACACACACACACAAAGCGTTCGCTCAGAGAGGGGGAGCCGCCCCATCACTCACTCACACACACACACACACACACAAAGTGAAGTGTTCGCTCAGGCAGGGGGGCTGCTCCATCACGCCCCTTCACCTCTGCCAGCCACTGCTCCACAGTTCTCCCTTTCCCCTCGGCCCGGGAGCAGAAGGTCTCCTTCTTGTAGCGGCTGTGGCCAAACGCCCGCGTCTTCGGTTGGCCACTGCGCCTGCAGTTAAAGTGGGAGACCTTCTTTGCTGGTTATAAGTGTTCTCCCAGCTCCCGGCACAACGCTCTTTCTCGTCCTGGAGCTTGCGCCTCCAGGCGGTGTTCCTTGGCACTGGTGGAGCAGTGGCAGCTGTGGCTGTGGAGGGGATGTCACCGGCCTCCGCGCTGACGCTGGTGGACAGGACGGCGTCCGCGCTGGAGGCTTGTGGGGTGGCTGATGAGGAGGAGGAGGAGGCAGTGGAGGAGCTGGCGACGATGAGGTCCAGGACCAGAAGCGTCCGTGGGCAGGCGGTGCTGGAGGGGCTGGTCTGGCTGCTCAGGCTGCTGCAGCACAGTCGGTGGGGCAGGCAGGGGCTCCGCTGCAGTCTGGGGAGTGCTGGGCCCCAGGACTGCAATGGCGATGGTGTCCCTCATCATGGCCTTGCTCCTCTGGTTGTGCCTTAAAAAAACAGAATGTAACAAATGCACATTAGTAATCATGACATCACACACACACACTCACACAGTGCCACTTCAAATCAGATGTGAGAGAAAGGATCAGGTCTTACCATTGCGTCAGGGTCCGCCGATTGACATCATATAGCTGGATGCGGGTGCTCGTCATGAGGGCTGCACAACTATAAACATTCTCGCGAATTGTTAGATAGTCCCTCATGACGGCACCCCAGCGAGGAATCCAGACCCCGGCAATCTTCCTGCCCTCGCTGCAGTGGAGGATGCTGAGGTCCAGCAGGACAGCCTCCACAAGCCTCGACACATCGGGAGACTGCGCCGCTCCCGCCCCCTTGCCCAGGACCGCACTACATAGACAGAGAGAGAGAGAGAGAGTGAGTCAGTGAGTTAATTAGTGACTGACAGGACAGGACAAGAACCAAAAAAAGCTTGGAAATTTATTGTGACTGCTTACCACTTCACACTATCCACACCCCTGGCATGTGAGCGTGCCGCTGGGTGGTCCGGAATCGGCCTTGGACAAGCCGGCCCTGGTGACGGGGGGGGGGAGATTTGACCGCTGCCTTGTCCCAATCACTCAACTTCAGCCAGAGATCGGTGATCTCTCTGGCTTGCCTGGGAGTGACGTAGCGGCGGTTCCACGAGGGCCTGGGCCAGGGCCACGACGTGCTGGTAGCTGCCTCCACCTGGCCCGATAACATCCTCCTCCTCCTCCTCCTCCTCCTCCTCCTCCTCCTCCTCCTCCTCCACAGCCTGCTGCACCTCCATTTGGTCCACGCGGGTGAGGTTTGAGGACTGAAGGAGAGCGCTGTGGTGTTCGAGGAGACGAATCTCCTCTGGTTCCTCCTCCTCGAACTCTTCATCACTGCCCCCCCCCCCCCCCCCCCCGGCTTCGTCCTCATCAGTCCCTCCTGGAGCGTCAGGATCATCCAGGTCCTTCTGCAGCACAGCGCCCGTCTGGGAGAACAGGTACTCCACCCCAATGAGTTCCCCTGTGGGCACACAGAGACACAGATGTTAAATGACAGACACCTAAGACAGGTGTTAAACGTTACCGTTACCTCAGACAGATTTATGACTTACCTGTGTACTCCCTGGGCATGGTGTACGTGTCGACCAGCGTGAGCCCAAGAAGCTCTTGGGTCAGCTGGTCGAAGCTGTGCTGCAGCTGGGCACTGTAGCAACGCAGCGCCGACCTCTGTCCTCCCTCGATTCTCGTTCCACCGCACCAGGCCCTCCAGCAGGTACACCTGGAAGTGTACATCACTTGCAGATTGTCCTAAGCAGAAACAAAGCAACACAGTTAGTGTGAGAACAAATAAACACACAAATACATAATTGAGTCTGTGTTGTAAACCACACATGTACTTACCTGGGATGAAGCGGCACAGGTGCAGGTGGAACGATTCCAGGGAAGTGGAGCCTCGGCCGCACCGGTAGACGGGGAGCCTCACCCCGCCTTTGGTGAGCTCTCCCGTCTTGGTGTAGAGGTCCACTCCCGCAGGGTCCTGGATTCAGTCGAGGTGTCGGCGCAGCGTGCTCCAGATCTCCTCCATTCGGGCGCGGTCGATCAAAGGGACGCCCATGCTGTCTGTCACGTGCCAGAAGGTGTCCAGCACCTCTTGGACCAGCCGCTCCGTCTTCACTGCACCCCTGGTGCGGCGCCGGCAGTGACGGGCGAGCTCCTTGGCGGACAGCTTGACCTCCTGGGCGTCCCTCCCCTCCTCGGACTGCTTGGCTCCTCTCAGGCGGGACACGTCTTCGGCGTCCCACTCAAAAATGGCGAAGGAGAGCCTCGCCATGAAGAGGCCGTAGAGCTGGTGGCTGTCGGTGGTCACCCCTCTGGCGAAACGCCGCATGAGGTGCCACACGTCGAGCCTGACGACCAGCTCGTGCCACTCGTGGAACAGCTTGGACGTTTGACACTGTCCCACGGTGGCACAGCAGTCCCGGTCCACGTACAGGACCCTTGGAGGGGCCTTCCCGGCTTCGCGGTACCATGCCATGTCGACAAGTCCGCCCCCCTCAGCTGCGGTGAGGACGGACATGAGCACCTGCCCGTACTCATTGCCGACGTTGGTGACCCAGGCGGCCGTCCCGGCAGCACCGCCCGCAAGCTTTTTGGTGATCTGTGTGACACAGCAACACAACGTTTTAATGGACCCTAAACCTAAACTAAATTATAATTCATTTGAAAGCCTTGTTCTTAGTCTTTCTCACCCAAACTGGAAAACACTGCAGCCAGTTCTATTTGTTATAGTGTACCGCGCTCCTGGACCGTACTCTGATTTTATATCTGAATTTTCAGAGTTTCTATCAAGCTTAGTCCTTAAATCAGATAAAGTAATTATTGTAGGTGATTTTAATATTCATGTGGATGTTGACAATGACAGCCTTAGTAATGCATTTATATCATTAATAGACTCAATTGGCTTCTGTCAGAGTGTAAATAAACCAACTCATTGTTTTAATCACACTCTTGACCTTGTTCTATCATATGGCATTGATATTGAACATTTAATAGTCTTCCCACATAATCCTTTCCTATCTGACCATTATTTAGTAACTTTTGAATTCATACTATTAGATTATAAGCCATTAGGCAAAACTTCCTACAGCAGATGTCTATCTGACAGTGCTGTAGCTAAATTTAAGGAGGAGATTCCTTCAGTGTTTAATTCAATGCCATGTCTGAATTTAACAGAGTCCTATAACAACTTTAGTCCCTCTGAAATTGATAATCTTGTCGATAGTGCTACAGGCTCACTACGATCAACATTAGACTCTATCGCTCCTATAAAAAGGAAATTATTAAAACATAGGAGACTAGCACCTTGGTATAACCACCAAACCCGCCAGTTAAAGCAAATAGCTAGGAAATCTGAAAGGAAATGGCGCTCTTCCAAATTATCAGAATATCGCTCAAATTGGCAAGATGATCTTAAGATTTATAGAAAGGCCCTCCGTAATGCCAGAGGAGCCTATTACTCAGCACTAATAGAAGAAAATAAGAACAACCCTAGGTTCCTCTTCAGCACTGTAGCCAGGCTGACAGAGAGTCACAGCTCTATCGAGCCACATATCCCCATAAACTTAAGTAGCAATGACTTCATGAGCTTCTTCTATAATAAAATTATTACTATTAGAGAAAAAATTAATCACCAACTGCCATCAACAGTTATCAGTGGCTCTCCAAGTTCAGGGACTTCTGTCAATGTAAACTTAGATGTATATTTAGACTGTTTTTCTGCTATCGATCTTCATCAGTTAACTTCAATCATTTCTTCATCGAAGCCATCAACCTGTCTGTTAGACCCGATCCCAACTAGGCTGCTTAAAGAAGTTGTTCCCTTAATTGGCACTTCTTTACTGGATATGATTAATCTTTCTTTATTATCAGGATATGTACCACAGTCCTTTAAAGTAGCTGTAATTAAACCCCTTCTTAAAAAGTCTACTCTTGACCCAGGGGTTTTAGCCAACTATAGACCGATTTCTAACCTCCCGTTCCTCTCTAAGATTCTGGAGAAAGTAGTCGCCAAAGAGTTGTGTGACTTTCTACATAACAATAGTTTATTTGAGGATTTTCAGTCAGGATTTAGAGTTCATCATAGCACAGAGACAGCTCTGGTTAAAGTTAATAATGACCTTCTGACTGCTTCTGACAATGGACTTGTCTCTGTACTTGTATTATTAGATCTTAGTGCTGCATTTGACACCATTGACCATGATATTCTTTTACAGAGACTTGAGCATCAAATTGGCATTAAAGGAACTGCCCTAACCTGGTTTAAGTCATACTTATCAGATCGTACTCAGTTTGTACATGTTAACGATGAATCCTCCATAAATACTAAAGTTAGTCATGGAGTTCCACAAGGTTCTGTACTTGGACCAATACTATTTACTTTATATATGCTCCCTTTAGGCAACATTATTAGGAATCACTCCATTAACTTTCACTGTTATGCAGATGATACGCAGTTATATCTATCAATCAAACCCAATGAAATTAATCAATTATCTAAATTACAAACATGTCTTAAGGACATAAAATCCTGGATGACCTGCAATTTTCTGATGTTAAACTCAGAAAAAACCGAAATTCTTGTTCTTGGCCCCAAAAACCTTAGAGACTCATTGTCTAAAGATATAGTCACTCTAGATGGCATTAACTTGGCCTCTAGCACCACTGTCAGGAATCTTGGAGTTATCTTTGATCAGGATTTGTCATTTAACTCCCACATAAAGCAGACCTCTAGGACTGCCTTCTTTCATTTACGTAATATTAGAAAAATTAGACACATACTATCACAGACAGATGCAGAAAAACTAATCCATGCATTTGTTACTTCAAGGCTGGATTACTGCAACTCTTTATTATCAGGTTGCCCCAATAAGTCCATTAAAACGCTCCAATTAATTCAGAACGCTGCAGCACGAGTACTGACAGGAACTAGAAAAAGAGATCACATCTCTCCTGTACTAGCTACTCTGCATTGGCTCCCTATAAAATGTAGAATTGAATTTAAAATACTCCTCCTCACCTATAAAGCTCTTCATGGTCAGGCCCCTTCATATCTTAAAGAGCTCATAGTACCCTATTACCCCACTAGAACACTACGTTCTCTGAATGCTGGGCTACTTGTGGTTCCTATAGTCTCTAAAAGTAGAACAGGAGCCAGAGCCTTCAGTTACCAAGCTCCTCTCCTGTGGAACCGGCTTCCAGTTGTGGTTCGGGAGGCAGACACCCTCACCACTTTCAAGAGTAGGCTTAAGACATTCCTCTTTGATAAAGCTTATAGTTAGGGCTGGATCAGGTGAGTCCTGAACCATCCCTTAGTTATGCTGCTATAGGCCTAGACTATCGGGGGATTTCCCATGGTGCACTGAGCTACTCTCTTCCTCTCTCTTTCTGCACTCATTCATGTCCCTTTAATGCATGTTACTAACTCCACTTCTTCCCCGGAGTTCTTGTGCTTTCTCGTCTCGCAGGTTCTCATGGATCCTGGTGGAGCCTCCTGCCATGGTCCTGCTTGACTGCCATTGCCAATACTGTTGTTGCTGTGCACCTGTCTGTCTGTCTGTCGCTCTCTCTCTCTCTCTCTCTCTCTCTCTCTCTCTCTCTCTCACCCCAACTGGTCGAGACAGACGACCACCCACCTAGAGCCGGAGGATCTGTCCTAGGTTTCTGCCTTTTAACAGGCAGTTTTTCCTTGCCCTTGTCGCCAAGTGCTTGCTCATGGTGGTACTGTTGGGTCTCTGTAATTAATGTTAAAGAGTTCGGTCTAGACCTGCTCTATTTGAAAAGTGTCCTGAGATAACTTCTGTTATGAATTGGCGCTATACAAATAAAATTGAATTGAATTGAATTGAATTGAACAACATTCAGACACATGACAAAACAAACATTACACTGGGTACACGGCACGCTGTGGTGGATAACAAAACCTACCTTCTTGGTGGAGTCCATCTTCAAAAGATCACCAAAGATGGAAGTGACTCTGGCTCTCGTCTCGTCGAGCCTCGTCAAGGCGTCCCTGACGTAGACGTTGATGAGCCAGAGCACTGTGGGCACCGGGTGCATGGTTGGGAGCGACGACGCCGCCAGCGGCGCAGCGCCCGGTACCCGAAGCTTGCGGAGCACGGAAAGGTACAGCATCGACCGCGCCATCCACTCTCTGGTGTGCGCTCCACCAGAGAGGCACGGAGGCGAGACGCACTGTTGCCCAAAGTGCGCCCCTTCATGAGCCCGATCACAGCTCTGTCGCAGGACAACCTGGGAGGGGAAAGAGGTGATCAGAGGTTACTGGAGAAAACCACAGAAATACATTACTGTTGCTGTTACTGTTTACATTACTTACTTGTACGTGAGAACTGCTGGAAACTGCTCACGATGGGCCATGTCCAGCTGTCCCAAGATGTCCTGCGACCATCCCGGCATCTTCTTGTGACAGGAGCTGCATTCCAGGTACTCCGTGCCCATGAAGTACCAGCAGCTCCTGTCCAAGACCCTCCTCACCGTCTTGTAGAGGCCAGCTCCCGCAAGCTTGCCCCCACAGGCGACGATGGGGCAGCGGAGGTGGTACGCCCACATCCTGTAGGGCACCCACAGGAAAAAGGGACTCTGGAAAAGGGGGTGGGCTGTGGCGGGTGGCTGGGTGTAGAGGGGCCGGGCACCTTGGTGGGTGCCACCACAGGCGGAGTTCAGATGTGAGGACACCCTGCCCGTTGGGTGCCCTCCTGAACAGTGCCCGGCCCACCCAGTCGTGCTGCTCTTCGGGGAGCGTCAGCCTCCAGCCACGTGGTAGCAGCTGAAACACACAGCAGTGTCAGACCGTTAGTGTACTGAACACAGACACACACACACTACAACACAATATGTCATCACTGAGCATACCTGTGCGCCGGGGCCTGACCTCTCCCCACAGGTGTTGTCCTGAAGGGGACGTTCCGGTGGCTGGGAGAGAGAGAAGAGGGGGGCACGGCTGATGGGGCATCCCTGCACGGGTCGACCTCCATGGCGGCAGCGAGCAGGTCAGCATCCGAGGGTCCATCCTGGGGACCAACAGCGTCCAGGGGTGGTTGTGGTGGTTGTGCTGCCAGGGCTGCCTTCTCTGCATCCCGGGCCTGCACATATTTTTTTAGTCCACCAACCTGGACGCTTTGGCTGTGGGTGCCGCCTGCCTCACAAACTGTACATAGCTAAAAAAGAGAACAGAAATGCAATGGGTAAAAAAGTCACGCACACACACAGACATACACACACAGACACAGATACACACACAGACACACACAGACACAGACACACAGATACACACACAGATACACACACAGACACACACAGACACACACACACACACACACACACACACACACACAACTTACCTTGCCCGCTCACGGTCCGTCGACTCGTACAGGGTCTTGTAGGTCAGGTCACTATGAACACCGAACCCCACCAGCGTGTCGTCCACGCCCCTCATGGTCTGGGGACTGCCCTCGAGCATCCTACGCCTGTCGATGGCTGCCACCATCGGCGGGAACAGCCTGGCGTAGGAGACGAGGGCGTCTTTGTGCACCATGAGGGCATTCTGCTGACTAGTGCCCCCTTTGTCTCTCTCTCCCTCGTGGGACACACAGATGGTGACTGCGTATCCCACGTCATTCTCCAGCAGCCACCGGAACGTCTGACCACGGTACTGGCCGAGCTGCAGCTCGCTCTCGGCCAGCACCTGATGGTGATCGGTGGGGTTACCTCCCTTCTGCACCACCCTGTCTCTTGCCTCAGAGCGCACCAGCTCAGGGGTCTTAACCACCACCAGGGCAGTGGCAGAGGCAGAGGCCCCCCTCTGGCGGCGGCTCAAGGCCAGCGCCTCCTGAGAGGCCCGCAGGGTCAGGTCAAGGTTTGCCTCAAAGCGGAAAATAGGCTGCATTTTCTAGAAAGACAAGAAATAAGATTTAAGTCAGTAATCTGCTACACATGCACTGTTTACATCCTACTGACAGTCTATTACTGTACTCAATGATACTGTGCCCATTCATTAACATACATTCAACATCAGGCGTCCTGTTTACACATTTAAACCATATTTACACTTTGAATTTTGACTTCAAACTGTAGTAACTACATCTACAGGGTCTAAGGAAGATAATCAGGTAGTCTGTTTAAAGATTAAATACATTGTGAGAGATCGCCAGCCCTCAGAAAAGTAGTAACTAAAATGACCTCATTCACCTCCTTGTTTTTAGCTAGCAAAATCACGGCTGGTCTGTTTACACATTTAAACCATATTTACACTTCAAATTTTGACTCCACCTCGTTGTACCAGCATACCAAGGGTCTTAAGAAGTGAGCCAAGTTGTCTCATCACGTTTTTAAAGCGTTTCCAGAGATCGTCAGCTCATCACAGCAGTGGCTAAATGCTCATTCATTTCCAACGCTTAGCATGCTAATAGCGATTTATATGCTAACGCATCTAAAGCACAGTTGAACTTTAAATATCAACTCCACACAATAGCAGTACAATATCCTAGGTCTCAACAAGTAAACCCAGTATGGGAATATTATTTTAAACACATTTCACTGATCGGTAATGACATCGGCGGCAGTCCTAACTTACGCTAACGTTACATTGGCTCGCTGTTTCACTGCTAACTGATTACTGTATAATATATAAGCTGCCTTTTCAATGTAGCACATAATTTTACAAACAATAAAGTTTGTCTAACCATATAATATTGTGTGAATGTCCGTCCGTCCGCTCACTCAAACGCCGCTCAGTCCGAATGAATGAATGACACTGACCGTGGCTGTGGCTTTGGGGGTGGGCGGGACATGCGGCGAGCTGTCGAATCACAGCACAGCACCCAAATGGAACAGACCAATGGGGTTGACCTGGCCTTCACCCATTGGCCTGTTCCATTTGAGCATGAGCCAATGATAGCCTCTGAAATCGGTAGGTGGGGACATTTATGTGGAACACAGGTACAGAGACGAAGGCTGTCCCAGAGGCGCTCCCCCAGCGTTCTTCTCTGTTTTGGTCGGCACCCGCGCATGCGCACTAGAGCGCAAAAGACGCGCGGTCGACGTGCGGAACGGCACTCCCGCTCGCCGGTTCGAATCCCGACGGAGGCAAACTGCGAAACGCGTGCATAGCGTCGAAATGTCTTCTCTAAATATAAAAAAATGATTAAAACATGCTTGGAACCGTTGTATAGAGTCTATAAATGATAATGAATTTGCATATTTCCAAGGCCAGGCAATGCAATAATAAATGGATTTTTCATTTACAGTACGGTTTATCTCCTGTGTCTTCATTTTATTGAGAATATGTATCATCAGTGTTTATTGAGAATATGTATCATCAGTGTTTATTGCTTTAAATTTGATATAGGACAAGAGAACAATGATACCAGTATAAAATGATGACAATTTATTTGAAATATGAAGTCAGATGTCCAGGATACAGGACAGTGCAGCATATCAGTGTGGAAAGGGCTTTACAAATAAAATACAATTCTCAGTAAAAAAGGGTAAATAAATTATTTATGTATAAATTAAAGTTACATGCTGTGTATGATTTGTTTCCCCTTTTTCTTCAGTGAAATAAATATCAATTAAATATATTGTTGTTGTGTTCTGCATCTTCACAACAACAACATCAAACACAGCAGAAGTACAGAGCAAAATAGATTATTTAAACTACAATCCAATAATAATAATAATAATAATAATAATAATAATAATAAATGGTGATGCAGAACAGAGCAGTGGCACAAGGCAATCACAGCAGGCAGACACATAGTATAAGAGCTCAGCACAGATATGCATGGATACATAACACAGGGGCATTACAGTGTGAAGTACCTGTACATACAAGGCTTTTTATTTTTTGGCAGCAACAGAGCCAGTGGCAACAGCAGATGAACCAGCACAAATGGCAGTCCGATATCTTGCGTCGCAGCTACTGGATGTAACTGATGTAACAGTGATCACATTAATGAACATACCCACATGTCCAAAATATAAAAAATAAAAAAACCTGTCAGTGCATAGAATCAGAACAGCACAGAGGCATGACAGCGTGTTATACAGGTGTGAATGGGACACACAATGATTCCCCCCCCTTAAACCATATGACAGGCAGCAGACACACAGCAGGCCTATAAGACTTGTCAGTGCATAGAATCAGAACAGCACAGAGGCATGACAGCGTGTTATACAGGTGTGAATGGGACACACATTTTTTTTCCAAGCAGAGTGTCACTGTGCTGTAGAAGAGTTGTGGCAGGGTGGGTGGACCGGTGTTGGTAGAAAGCCTCCACACTGCGGCAAAGTCCCGGTCCTTGTGGAGGGGAAAGTCAATGTCTTTTAAAAAAAAAACACACACACACAACACTGCAAACAACTATATACACCTGCCCCAGCAAGAGTGCGAAATCAGTCCGGGGCTCGATTGCATGTGAAACAGGAAAAAGCCAGAATTACATGGGAAACGCTAAAAAGTCACTTTTAATAGTTTTGTCCATTACAGCCAAACTAAGTGAGAGAGCCACACCAAACCACTCTATAATGTACAAGTCGCCGCTGTGAAGCTTCCTGAGGTCGAAACTGGCAGATAGGTGCTTCCAGAAGAGAATGGCAGCTTGTGTGAAAAAGCTTGTTTTCTCAGCCTGAGAAGCTCATTCAGCACACTTAGTTGGAAAAACACCAAAGTCCCACAGAATTGCATGTGAAAAAGGAAAAAGCCAGAATTACATGGGAAAAGCAAAAAAGTCAATTTTAATATTTTTGTTCATTACAGCCAAACTAAGTGAGAGAGCCACACCAAACCACTTATGCATCACTTTAATTATGCCACTGTGAAGCTTTGCAAGTCCAGAATGAATTATTCTGTGGTCAAGTGTGCCCTCTTTTGTCGAAAAAGCGTAACTGCATTTGGAAGACAGAAAACCACTCTATAATGTACAATTCACCGCTGTGAAGCTTCCTGAGGTGGAAACTGGCAGATAGGTGCTTCTGGAAGAGAATGGCAGCTTGTGTGAAAAAGCTTGTTTTCTCAGCCTGAGAAGCTCATTCAGCACACTTAGTTGGAAAAACACCAAAGTCCCACAGAATTGCATGTGAAAAAGGAAAAAGCCAGAATTACATGGGAAAAGCAAAAAAGTCAATTTTAATATTTTTGTTCATTACAGCCAAACTAAGTGAGAGAACCACACCAAACCACTTATGCATCACTTTAATTATGCCACTGTGAAGCTTTGCAAGTCCAGAATGAATTATTCTGTGGTCAAGTGTGCCCTCTTTTGTCGAAAAAGCGTAACTGCATTTGGAAGACAGAAAACCACTCTATAATGTACAATTCACCGCTGTGAAGCTTCCTGAAGTGGAAACTGGCAGATAGGTGCTTCTGGAAGAGAATGGCAGCTTGTGTGAAAAGGCTTGGTTTCTCAGCCTGGCACACTTAGGTGGAAAAACACCAAAGTCCCACAGAATTGCACTTGAAACAGGAAAAA